GAGTTGAAAAGCCAATCCATTTTTGATAAAATGTTGTGATAAGCTGCAATACTGATTTTCTTCGCACAGCATGTTATAAGGTGAATTGCACTGTTGCAATGCTTTCATTTCCAAAACACACCCTAATGATCCTAAATGGAAATAACAGTTTTCAACTGAAAATATATTTCCATTATTTGGTTAACATTAATTGTGTTCTCAGTAATTAATAAGCTGCCAGCTGAAGTGTAAAAAAAAGATTATTTACTATTTTCCACTGCCGGAGATGTGGAAGCGCTGCTGAAAGAAACAGTAGTCCAATAAACCTTCAAGATAAGCAAGGAGAGCTTCAGTAATGACCAGAAATGAGAAAATTCATCTTAAGTGATCCTAACCACCATAGCTAAAACTCCTTCAAATTTGTAGCTGTAATTTGAACAGATTGCTTGGTTTTACATTATAAGGCTAATTAACTTCTGTTAACAGAAAATATGCTCCTCCATTTCTCCTGTGTCTTATTCCAATGACAAGATATTTCTGCTATCAAATACATACTGATTACCCTCTAAGTAATAAGAGAAAGGGCTACTCTCAATTTTTCAGTCTCAACTTCCACACCGCCCAGACATAACAGAGATGTTTTCATACTAATTTTGGGAAAACATCCCTATCTTACTGGAGAAATCATCCAAGAACAAAACATTATTCTCTAAGATATTCCATCATTGTACAAAGGGAACATGCCTGCCAATCATTAGGTTGAAGACATTACATAGTTGTTTAGATAGCTATATACTTCCTACTTTCAAATCATGTAGTGCTCAAAGAAGAATATGTATCTATGAACACATATGTAACAAATTATAACTATCTATGGGATGGGCACATCATTAGACTGAATTAAGTGACTGAGATTAAAGAATTTCGTGCCATCTTTTGTCATAAATGAAGTTTTCTGTCCAGAGTTCAGTTAAGACTAGTCAAAATAGCCAGGATTACTCTGACCAAGGCAGAGGTCTACAGTGATTGAAAAAAGACAGAGATTTCTAGTGTCCAATTTATCTCTCTTTAAGTAGATCTCTAAAGCATGCCAGATGAATTGTACCCTAAATGTGCCCTAACTTCTCTCCACCTATTGTAAAGGGAGACCAGGATGACTAGTTCCAGGCATTGATTCACTACCGATATTCTTCAGAAAGTAGAACTCATGTATGACTGATGATTTTGAGATAAAAACTGAAAATCTAGTGCAGAGCTTTTGGTCTTATTGCAATATCCACAGTTACAATACAAACAGTGAGAATGATAAAGAACGTTTCTATCATCTTTGACTCTCACCTGAAAACAATTCTCCCCTTCCGGCAAAGAAATTTTTAATGCTATTCCCACCTTTACTATACCTCCATATCAATTATTTGATATCACAATCAGCTGACAAAGTCTGATGAACCAAAAGATTTGATCACTTCATAGGCTTTTGCATTTAAATAATTCTGAGTTTAAAGTCTCCATTTTGATATCTTCACAAATGCAGAGAACCTGAGCCATCTGACATCCCCAAAGTCTAACTCGTTCTAATTTTTTAGTGTTGTGAACAGAAAGAAGTCTGGCAACATACTTGTGTCAGACTGTTTCTCAGACATCCCTCAGATGCAAGAGAATAGTTTTGATCTGCTATTTCCGTTGAGACTGTGATAATAAATTACTACAAAGAGTAACACTATATATGATCTAAATTGAAAAAAGAAGGAGCTTTCTTTTCATTTTGCAGGTTATGCTTTGTCTGACTAAGCACAGATTATCTTAGATGTACTGCAGACCCTTTAAAGGTATCAGAAACTAGTAGGAGAAACCCAAGCAGATGCAACAAACTTAAAACAAGGAGTTTTAAATTTATAGATACAGTCAGATTTTCCAGTGGATCAGCTAAAAAGAAAAAATAAAAACATTTTTATCGTTAAATGATAGTCAGGGACACCATTGGTTTATTTTTTCATTCCTGGGTGTGTTCTTTCTCCTTTAAGCACCATAAGATAACATATAGCTTGTAAACAATATTTGATTAACAATAAGAGACAGTAAATCCTTATTTTATAATCTCTGAACATTTGTCAGTAAAGGTAGAATATATTTATCTGCAAAGCATATTTTAAAGTCTTTTATTTCAATACTACATTTTATTTGTATATAATATCATCAGTAAACTAAGCAAAGGTCAACAGTTGGTACGATGAGAACCCCAAAGTTTCCTATCAAGTATAATGATGTTTAAAATTCTTGTAACCTGCACAGGACATCAGCTGTAGTTACTCATAAGGAGCATACACCTATCACATACTGTAATGTCCCGAGACAAGTAGGGTCTCATACAGCCTTAAATATATTTTAACTAAAGATCTTGACCCGTATAAAGAAAAAAAGAGAAGCACCACCTAAGAACAAAATCAGTATCTTAAATACCAGTAATATACCTACTTCTATCTTACCCTTCCCTGGAGACGTTTCCTGGTCAGATGATTAGATTCCATCTACTAAAAGTGGATTTATTTAAGCAGCCAAACCATTTCCCCTAATTCATAGAGATCTGTCCCAAAGAAGTCTTGTACAGTTCTAACAATAATCATACAATTTGCTGCATTGAATTGGACTGACAAAGAATGAATACTTTACATCCATTTAGTGTCATATGGAATTAATAAAATATAGATACTTTACTTCCATGTAACAACTGTTTTTTTATTGTTTTTTTAATAAATATGATTTTGCTTTAAAAATATGTATTTACTTTTTAATGCAACATTAAACCACTCTATAATGTGTTAAAACACCTTGAAATTTAAAATAATATTAAAATATTACATGCTTCCTGCCAACATCTGAAAGATGACAAATCACTAAAGGAAACCAATTGGCTTAGCCAATGAAATTAAAGATTTTTGAAACTACAAAATAGGTTTTGACTTCTAGCCTTTTCTAACTGTGTTGACAATTTTTTTCATTTCACTTTCTGCTAATGTTCAAAACTGAGAAACTGAGTTCAGAATATAAAAAGCAGAAATATTTTTCTTCTCTAACAGGTGAGTTAGGTGCAAGAGGTCAAGACCTCTCAGAGGTAAAACCTTGAAGGATGAGATTATATCAACAAATAAAATAACTAGCTACGGATAACATTTCCTTTATTGAATAATTTGTTTCTAAAGCCAAAGCTTTACTGTTGTATCTTGTTCACACTTTTATTTTAGTTCTGTTTAAATATTTTAAAAACAAACAAGTATTTTACTTGAACTCAGGGTAAAACAAGTACTACAGATAACAGTATAGAATACACAATGATTCAAAAAATGCTTTATCTGAAATATTGGTGAGTTTGTATGACTGACTCCATTTGTTCTTAAACTTTTTTTCTGCTTTCATTACATATATTTTATTGCTGTACTATATATGGATAAGAAGAAAAACTATTTGTTTATCCCCTCCTTTTGCCACCCATTATATCAAATGTCAGGCTTTGTACAAAAAGCAATATAATCTCATTTATGTTGTAGTTAATTTTTATTGTGTTAAATTTAATGAAAATTAAAATGTCAAAATTAAAATGTTAAAATTAAAAATTAAACTGCATATTGAGGCAGTCTAACATTCTAATTTTCAAGCAAAGGTGGTTAAAAATAAAATATCCTATGCCTGACACACTGAAATATGTTCTAAATGGAAATAAAAAGATGAAAAAGCAATAGCTGAAGAAGTTTCAGGGCTTTATTCTGTAGTACCACATAGTATTGCAATAGTCTTCTGAACTAAGAGCAAATGATTCCTTTTTTTATCAGTGATGGATTAAATCATACAAATGCAACTATGACACAACAAAGAATATTACACCAACAATTTGAATGATCCAAAATAATTTTTTGCCAGACAATAGTCTTACTAAGAAAAATCACAAATGCTTGCTTACTAGTTGTTAAAATACAAAGCAATTTATAATACATATATACGCACACACCAAAGTTTAAGAAACGCCAGACTAACAGTGATAGATTAAGCTGATGCAATGAGTATTTTTATATAATGCTCCCAGAACAGCATATGATAAAAAACACAAGTAGCATTATTAATAAAATAGGAGGTTAACTATTTTTGTTCTTTATAAACAGAATGCAATTTAAAATCTCTTAGGCTTTTTATAAATCAATCTTTTTACCCACTGAGATTTTTCAAAATTATACCAAGAACATTTTCATCACATTACATTTTTAACCTATATTTCTGTATACACAGCACAGTGCATGCAAATTAGTGTCGAAATGTACATGCAAACTTTGCTAAAGTTATGTTCAGGCAACCCTTTCTTTTTCAAGTAATGACATCTGAAAAACATATTCCCTGCATTATATAATATCTATTCAAACAAACAAATGAACAAACAAACAAAACAAATCAGGCCCAAAACGTATAATAGTTGCTCTGGTCACAAAAGCAGTTTTCTTCAAGAAAAGCACAGCACATTAACTAACAGGCATAAAATAATTCACAATACATACAATATCAGAGGTTTACATACCATCAAGAAGGTAAGAAAAAAAGCAAGAAAGAAAGGCAAAAGAACGGGAAAAGATATAGGGAATGGGAATACTACAAAAGTACTACATACTTTAGGTGGTATGCAATATTTTTAAAATAGGTCTGATTTTATTTTTATGGACCTAATATTGTAGCAGAATAACCACAAACCAAAAGCACTTAAAATTTTCTACATCCATTCCCTCCTCCTGGCTGCTTTTATTTTTTATTTTATTTTATTTCATAATAAGTAAAGTTAATAAATGGTAGTAAAAGTGGGAAAGAGATTTCCTAGAGAAATGTAGGCAGGAAGTTAAAGTTTTAAAGGTATCATCAGGTCTGATCTCCATGTAACCTGAGGCGTATACTTATTTATCAACAATTACATCACAGTTAGTTCTTGAATTACATGACATTAAATAAGAACACCCAAACAGGTTAGGAGATGATGTTAATATTACCTTTGTAAAATGAGTGGGCAAAGCTCTGTTCAGGAATTAACTTGGCAAGGAATCCATGGTTCAAACTTGGGTGAGGGATAGATGGTATGACCACAACTGTGGAGAAAATCATGGAATCAAATGTGAGCCAGCTAGTATTCATGTGTGGCCTGGTCCACTGTGGATCCATGACAGATATCCTATCTCATTGAAACATGCACATATGGTATTATCAACAAAAAAATGCATTTCTAAAGGAAGAAAACAAGTTCTGTATCAAGAGATAGGAAACAGCGTACCTATTATTTGGGCACTTCAAGAGCAACATTCATGGGGAAAAAAAGATACAGACAGACACAGATATATATACACACACACAGAGGCAAGACAATTACGATGAAATTGTTCACTGAAACCAGCAGTTTCTTAGTGCAGAACCATAACATAAAACCAGGGAGGCACAAAAAAATTATGACTTCTCATAACTAACTACATTCATGTATATTTAAAATGGAAAGCCTACAAGCACATGGACTTTAAAAATTATGTGTAAGTAGTAAATTAAAACATCATGATGAATGAGAAACTAATGACTATATGTAAATATGACATGAATTGGAAGATAAATTCTATGAAGAATGAAAATTAGCAACTCCATAAATGAAAAAAGTAAATAAAAATCAATACAAGGAGAAAAATATACATAGCTTCATGGACAAATTCAGTTACTGTTTTCAACTCTTTTAACACAGAAGGTAGAGTTATAATCAATCCAATCTGACTTGAAAAATCCTACTGAACTGTGTAAAATATTTGAAACAAAGTGGAGTAAAGTTTGGATCTCTAATTTCTGACAGGTTCTGCAAGCTAACAGACTCCTTCCCTCTCATGCTGAAGAACACATGCTAGTATAAACCACTTACTACTAATAAAAATCATGAACAGTTCAGACAAAGAAGGCAACAGAAATGTTTCCTTTTTATTATATTGTTTCCATAGGCTTTTAAATGCGGCCACCAACACAGCAGGACCCCAAGAAAGCACTCAGTCCTCCACTACCCTTTCACAAACCTTCTCACTCAAACAAAGGGAGTTCACATGGGCAAACAGCTGTGTTTGCTGTTTATACATTTCTTGGTATAAAGATATCTGTTGTTCTTAACAAATAACAGATTCAGAAAGTTGTGTGATCAACTATCTTGTACTTTACATCTTTAACTCCATGAGGCACCCCGTTTCATTTTAGTTCTTTCCAAATTAAAGAAAAAAAGGCATAAAAAAGCAATATGTAAATGAAAATTAGTTATGCCCTAAAAGCAAATACACAGAATAACTGAAATCTGTCAATGTATGTTAAAGAACAAAATGACTATACAGGAAGAAAGTAGCAAACAATTTATTAGAATTTTAAGTTACTCACTAAAAATACTTTGCAGCAAAATAATTACAGTCCTAAAAAAAAAAATCAAATAACATTTGAAGAAAACAAATGTACCTGTACTTGTTGGCGAATTTATTTCTTGTCTGATATTTCTACCTGCTTGGCTCCCAGACCTTGCAGTTTCTCGTTGCGGTTCTAGTATATCACGGTACTTGGAAACCATCAGAACAGAAATAAAGTAGACTACTGCCAAAGCTAAGAACTGAGCTTGTTTGCTGTCATCCTGTGTTGGAGAAAAGGGAATAGTTCTATAATATCAGACATTTTCACAGAATTTTCACACAAGATCATCACAAGGCTTAATAAATAATAGCTTTCTGAAATGTATCTGTTCGTAGTAGCAAACGGATTATGTAGAAGATTTAATGTATTTTCAGGTGAATACTATGCACACAGCATGTATTAAGTACTGAATTTTACAGGTAATTTGGCAACTTCACAAATCTCCTGGACTGTGGAGTCAGCGGGCTTTTCAGAACAGAGGCCTGACTGCTCTGAGAGTGCTTTCGAGGCTTCTCAACAGCAAGGGCAACTGACTTTTGCTGCCCCAAGGATGAGACCTCCTGCCACAAGAAGGCAAGGAGTATTACCACTGAGAGAGAAAACTAAACTCGCTGATGCCTTTCTAGCTAACACTGGATGTATAAGAAGGTACAACAGATTTTGCTAACAAGTAAAAGCAGGAGGGATATGACAGTTGTTTTTCTCCCAGCAATAAATCGCAGTTTGGACATTTCGCTGGGTAAAAAACTGTCTGGATGGCTGGGCCCAAAGAGCTGTGGTGAATGGAGTTAAATCCAGTTGGCGGCCGGTCACGAGTGGTGTCCCCCAGGGCTCGGTTTTGGGGCCACTCCTGTTCAACATCTTTATTGATGATCTAGACGAGGGGATCGAGTGCACCCTCAGTCAGTTTGCAGATGACCCCAAGTTGGGTGGGAGTGTTGATCTGCTCGAGGGCAGGGAGGCTCTGCAGAGAGACCTGGACAGGCTGGAGCCATGGGCTGAGCCCAACTGGGGGAGTTTCAATAAGGCCAAATGCCGGGGGCTGCCCTTGGGCCACAACATAATAATAACTGCTAGTGTACTACTTTCAAAAACAAATTATCTTGTAGTGATGTTTTATGCTAAAAACAGTTGCAGACAAATCAGAAAAAAAAAAAGTATATACTTGTATATATTTAGCAGAAGAAAAAATTGTCTTTATAAATCAGTTTGGTGCAGTTCTGTAATACATATAATAGTTCTTCCTCCTACACTGCTTGGACAAATAGCTGACACCTTTAGCAATTCACTTTTAATCCAACATAGGCCATAGCTGATTTATTCTGACTGTGATTATTTCACTAATATAAGTTCAAGTCTGATTTTTAAACACAGTTAGTTACTAGTCTCAAATAGCTTACCAGTATGATTTAAAGTGAATGAAGTGGCTGGTAGTTACAAAGCCACAAGCAGATGGTTTGCAGATAATATATGAAGTGCAACATGTGAAGGATATTTTTAATTTCAGTACAATCAAAATGTCTTTCAAAATATAAGTGATGATTTTGCAAAATAAAGAATTACAACACATATTACTCACCACATCACGAAAAACAACTGCTCGTAGCCGATTAATATCAACATCCTGAAGGAGCCTATCAGGGTCTTTTATAGGAGAAAGATTGCCAGGGACATTTTCAAGGGGAGTCTAAAAACAAAAAGTATTGAGATTTTCCCCCCCCCCGCAAATATCAAAGCATTTCTGTTAGAACCTTAATTTAACACCTTTTAAAAATATTGCATCAATCTTAAATGCTTTTTTACTACCAATATACTTCCAACATAATATCCAGACAAGGTTTCTAGAAATAAAGCAATATTTTGAATTATTGTCTTAATACTATTTAGATATAAGTAGTTATATCTTCCCAGTACCTCAGAACAACTGTACCTCTTCTCAGAGTTAAAATAATAGTTTACACATAAATGGTTTTTTTTCAGATTACAGTTGTTTCACAGCACTACAATAAATTATTTCTAATACATGTGTTAAATTTAAAAATTATGAGTAGAAAAGCTTTTAAAAATTAGTTTATGTTCATTTTACTGAGAATTATTACAGACTACTTAGAGAATAACTTCTATTATTACAAAAGCATTGAGTAGTATGCTTCCTTTAAAAAATTATTATGTGTTACAAATGATGCCTAAACACCTAAAATTGCACTGAAAGTGCTAACATGGAGATATGTAATGTTTTTGTGAGATTTAAGGAAATAATATTGTGAAAGGAGCTGAGCTTTAAATGCTGTCTGAAAAAGCCTTTAGGGAAGACAAGCTACAGAATTTAGTAATGAAAATATAGTAGCAAAAAAATAAATCATTTGCATCATACAAAGTGTTGCATTTTAGTCATGGGCTGTGCTAAATTCTTTGAGATTTTAGTCTCAGGACTCCCAAAGTCTTAAAGCTGTTTAACAAGTTTAAAAAAAAGGATGAACAGTGATTAATGAAAGTGGAAAAACTAAGCTGTAATCGAATATTAATCAAGTTTCATTCCAAAAATCAGATAGAAAATACTGATGTGTAATATGCATGCGAGGGTCTGTTGAAGTTACCAGACTCAGATGTTCCACCAATAAAGATGTGATTGCAGGGTTTCATCAAAACTGCAAGTGTCCTGACAGATTAAAAAAGCTATGCAGGTACATATGACAGAAGTGAGTAAGGGGACTTGCTCTTTGAAGTAGACCAAGCAAGAAGAAAAAAAGCTGTTTAAAATCACGCAAGTCATACTACTGAATTAACATCCTCTTGTTTCAAATAAATCCTCCCACATTATTTTACTTTACACCACAATAGCAAAAGCATAAGATTTTGCCAAATATTTGAGAAGGCAGTCACAATTATTTTCTGATCCTATAAAGCAGTGGTACAGACTTGTCACTGCTGCTGGTAACTGAAGACTGGGTTACCTTGGTCGCTGCTGACGCAGTTACACCCTGAAGAGCCTCTTGAGTTTTACTGCTGATTAATGATGTCTTGGTCACTCTCTCTCTCTGCCTCTGCCGACATTCTAAGCAGTTTCTCACAGCCACACAACAAACTAATAAGTTATGAAAATGCTACGAATTAGAATATTTCCTCATTATATTCAGAACATCAATCAGCAGACTGTATGTCTAGTTTCATATGTCAATAACCATGTCCAAATAGGAAAAGCAACATAATTCTCACATTAGACTGTCAGTACTAAGAAAGCATTACGGTGACTTACTCATTTAATTCTTTAGTTGAAAAACTAAATGTTTCAAGTAACCGCTATATCACTGTATTAAAATTTGAAAACTATTAGTCCTTGACTGGAGCTCTCATATGTTATTGATCGGTTATCAACACTTAAAATCTGGAAGTACTTATGTACAGCTAGAATAGAAAAAAATAGTAGGCAGGAACTTAGAATTTGATGAAAATTGATCATTTAGAATAAACTACAAGTTTTATACCAGGAGCAGTATAATTATCAATAACTTAAGAAATCATAAAAACAATAACAGCACAAAATCTGAGTACGAAAATTATTCATCATTTGAGAGATGAAAAAGTATGTGGGATATACATAACATCAGCAAAACAGTGTCATGACAGATGACAGTCAAAATTTAATGCTTACAAGGATAAATCGATATAGTTTGCACAGAACAGCTTGAATTATTAATAAATTTTTAAATTTCCTAAATTAATTCTAACTAAATATAGCAAATACTAAATAGTGAAGAGAGGTGCCAGACTGTTGCAACATATATTAAGGTCTACAGAGTCTGCACACGCATCCCATACTTTTATTCTTATATAGCCTATAAGTAGTCTTCAAAATCCATGGAGACTTGTATAAGGAGATCTGCCACACACAGGTAGCAAAGTAGTTTTAAGAAAAAAAATAATTCTCTATTTACTTATTTATATTTTTACTCCCTGAAAATACATACAGCTTGAAATACATAAGAAAGAACAATTTCAGTCATGTCATTTTAATTTATTCTTGTGTCTAAATCAACCTTAAAACTGTATCAAATCAACAATAAACAGGATATTTATTCTATCACATCATAGTCAGTACAAGTCCTTTCCTACATGTGTCACCAGTTGATCCATCTGTAGCTCATTGATCTGTAAGTAATTATTTAATACATACTGTCTGCCGACTTACCAAGCCTTAGGCACTGTCGCATTAGACCTCCAGAAGACATGTTTTTTTCAGCTTCAATCTCACTAAAATTTAGAGAACTGGCAAATACTAGTACATCAACCATTGCCATCAGACGGCTGAGAAAAGTTACTGCTGTCTCTGCTGACATTCCTTGTGTCACTTCAATATTTTCCAATTCAGTCTTTAAAAGGAGATAATTGAATTAAACAGTTTGAACACAACTGAAATATAAAGACAGCACATACACGTACAAATCTAAATTGTTATGCTTAATGGTAAATATGTTGAAAAGTTATTTAAAAATCCCCTATTACCATTAATATAAACTGTGAGTGAAATTCATAGTAAGACAGCATGAAGAGTGAGAAAATTATTTACATTTACATGCTGTAGTAGACGCCAAAAAAGTTTAATATAAATGAGAAAGTTATCAGTGTTTACATAAAGACAGAGTGTGGCCAGACAGTAAAACAATGCGTGGTCTATAAGGGTGCAGCATACTCTTACATTCTTCCATAGGCTAAGCAAACTGACAGGTAACAGATGAAAGTCATTACTGTCTGTACGGCTTTTACATTCCTTTAAATAAACAAATAAATGTGAGGACTGGAGCGGGAAAAATCAGACAGTTTTGCCCTGTTTCCACGAATTGCTTCTCCCTGGGAATGCCTGTACCATACAGAAACCTCACAGAGTGCAATTTTCCTGGAGATCAGAAGACAGTATGTCTACTCTCTCACAACAGCAATGGGAGGAAGCAAAAATGTGCCAAGTTACATGGCGTGCAGCTCGTATTTCCCAAAGGCCGTTTCTTTCCTAATGCAGTGTTGGACTATCCTTAATGGGAAACCACAGAAAAAAGCTGAATGAGGTCAATATTTCTGAAATCTAAATGGGGATCATGTTTTTCTTCAAAAAGATAGTTAAATGTCAAGAGTCATGTTTTCAAATGCATTCAGGTGTCTAACAGTGCAGATGAGAAAACAGTAAATTTAATTTAAAAAAAAATCTGTTTAAATATTTTACCTCTGGAGCTATGAAAAACTGGAAGCAGGATTTAGTACTTGATGGGGCCACATTTATATACCTAAATACTATTTTTAAAATTGTTTACAGATGGCTGATTCTTATGGATTGTCAAGATCTCAGACTGCAGGGCTCTTCTGAACACAGAGTTCAGTTCTTTTCAAAATTATTACTTCTTTTGTGTTTGTTTATTTGTATTCATTTACTAAGAAGAATCTAAAAAAAAAAAAATCAAAATATATTTTGTGCTCTTAAGACTATTCCAAAGAAAAAGAAATATAAAAAAATTTCAAAAATCCTTTATTTCCATAGTTTAAAAAATTACTATCTTCACTCATGAGTCACTTTTTAGAATATTTTACATCCAAAATTATAAACCTGTGCCAAACAGGAAACAAATGCTTTGAAAATTGGATACAATGTGGCATGTGTCACCACTTTAATTTCTCTTAAGGATGTAACATGTCGGTTACGAGTGATTTGGGAAAGGCTGTCATCTCTCTGATCTGCTCAATATCAGAAAAATGGTAAAATGACAAAGCTCAGAAGAATGATTTCCAGTCTATCTTCTTTAGCCAGGTCTCCCCTGCTTAGTGTGTGCTGTGGGTTTTTTTTTTTGAAAAATAAACTGCTGGTTTTTTATGAGACTGGAACATAATTTCTGAAACCATTCATCCAAAGAAAATGTATTTGCTAAAATCTATAGCCATAAGAGTCTGCTAGAAAAACTCACAGGTGGTTATAGAAACCTGAACTTAAAACTCATGCTTGAAATAACATCAGGCTTGCTAGAAGCCAACTGACTGCTTGATGGTGATTTTTCTCAAGCTTCAACTGTATTGCATCAATCATAGTATTAAACCTTCTCAGACTATCTATTTTTTTATTTTGTCTGCAAGTTATGTAATGAATTCATTTTATATAATATTTTAGTATATTTCATCAAGATTTTTGCAAACTTTGAATTGAAAAAAAAAATAATCATTTTTTACAAATCTTCTTAAAATTCTGCTGGATAGAAAAAAAAAAAAAAAGTGTGTTGGTTTTTACAGCAAAACTTACCATCATTTCTACCTGTTAACTACAGCACACTGATATTCTAATAACATTTAACATAAACTCCATTGTTGATCAAGTTGCCTTCTGGTATTAGCAATATTTTAGATAGGTGTAGCTCAAAAATTCTTTAAAAAGTGACCTAATCACCATTTCATGACTACTCGGCATACTTTAAGAGCAGCAAGTCTCCCATACAATTAACATGTTCAGCGCCTAAAGAGCTTTTCTATTGACAACCACATTTATAACTTAAATGTCTACGTTCAGTCCAGTAGCTGAGTTATCATCATACTTGACAATGCATTAAGTTACTCAAGGGAAACATATTAGGAAAAATTAATGATTACACCCAATACATTCCTATTCACATCCTACTATATGATATAGGAAAATAATAATAAAAAAAGCCAAAATATTAAATGATCAAAAATAAGGTATTTTTGAAAATGCAAAAAACTGAAACTTACAGCAGCAATACTAACCTTAGAACCCTGGACATGCAACAGACAAAACAGACAACAGATCACAACAATAAAAGAAAAAGAAAATTATTTAAGTTAACTAAAAATACAATGTAAAATTGAAACAAATTAGTATCTTGGAATTATACATTTGTTTAATTTATAATTAGAACAGCAAAACATTTCAGCTCAGGATGAACATTTGAAAATAAAGACTTCTAAGATATAGCTATGCACAAGGAAATCCGTAAATCTTGTATTATTATGGAGTTCATGTAAACACTGATTCTTCCAAACCAATGTACATCTTTTATATAGTACATAGAGCAATTTTCTGAAGCAGTGTAAACCAAAGTAATGTTTTCACTGATTATACAGAAATAAAATGAGAATTTTACAACAAGCCATTCAACTGAAATGTAATAAAGTAATTAATCCTTGTATGACGAGGCAAATATGTTTAAAATGCTTTGAAAAAACAAATATAAATCACAAAAAGCAAGCTGGTTCTTCATGCATAATGCTCCTTCCTTTGAAGCAACACAAGATAGCTCAATATATATCTATTATTGTGGGTGTGATTTCTTCAACCTGAACCAATATCATAGTGGATATCTGAATACTTTGGAACCATAGGGGGAAAAAAAAAACAAAACAAAACCAAAGATTCACTAAGGCCCTAGGACTGAGTTAGTCTTCAAATTCCCATGTTCACAATTAAATAGAGGTGTTAAATTTTGATGGTTTAGTTTTAGGTAGATGCACTTTTTCTCTTATCACAATGGGCTAGGAACTAATCCTTAAAGAATTCACTGGTTATGTTTTTAAAAGAGAAAAAAACTGAATTTTCAACAGTATGACAGTATTTTTGTCATTTAAATAGTGGAAAACCTAATCTATCAGAAAGAAAAAAAAGTTGAAACAAACTGTTTGTTTCCTTTCGGAACAGAAAACACCATGTTTGGCCATTTTTAAAATACATGTGTTTTCCTGTTTTCTAGCTGGATGCACCTCGAGAATTAACCTGTGGCTATTATACCTCGGTTACTAGCTGACAATTTTTATATCAGCGTGCCACTGATGATTCTCAGAATTGTAATAGATCACACAGCACCTCATGTGGAATCACATGAGTCATGAACATGATAATGCTAACACTATATACAGGACATACAGAAGAATATCTCATCTTGGCTTTTAATAGATAGACCTAATAAAGACTGTCTTTAAATGTTTAATTGAGCTTTGTAGACAGCCGTTCATATAACACTGGCAATTCTCAGATCACAATTTGAGAGCTGCTGTTTTAAATGTTGCAAGCAAGAATTAGAATTATAGACTTCACAGAGTAAGCTGAGAAACAAACTAATTGCAAGGGGTCTGGAAATTTACTCTCAATTGTCTACACATATTTCAACTCCTCAGATTTCTACTGCCTTACTCTATGTCCTCAAGCCCTTGTCACAGCTGCTATGCTTGTAGTAAGCAATGATTACTTCAAATTCCTAGCTTGTACACAAAGTGTTTTATCTGGCAACCAGCTGCTATTAACAGAAAGCATCTTCTGCAAACCTTTTTCCTTACAGCTCTCCACTTGTCCACCATCTTAAAAATGTCTTCCTTAGAGCTGTAATTAAAAAGCCTCAAAGAACTCCCACACAGAAAGAAAAAAAAAAAAAGTATTTTATATTTTATGACCTCCCTATAATATTGGCAGTTACTTAATATGCCCAATTTAATAAGCAAGACATCACAATCAATAGTGAAACACACTCCAGCTTATACTGTAAAACAACAAAATTGATTATATTTTTTTGTAAATATTTTCTTCAGTTTCAAATTGTTTCATATATACAATTGACAGCCCTTTCAAAACACCAGCATTTTAAGTAAGTCCTTGTACAGACCCTGAGACAGAGGTGGTATAGAATTGAAATCAAGGGAAATATTAAAATGTGAGAATAGATTACTGTGAATTACAGTAAACTTCCCCCTGTATTTCATACAAATTTATAACCTCCACTGTATTCTTGAGTCAGAGATTTGTGAGTGGTTTGTTTTTACACGGAATGCATTTTTTTTTTTATTTTTTTTTTCTATTCATACATAAAGGCTCCTGTTCATAGCACTATTCAGAACACCCTAGTCGGGATTCAAAAAAGCAAGGCAAACTGCAGATTTCTATTACAAGAATTTAACAGTGAAGAAATTCCATAATTAAGATTTCCTGTTCCACAGCAGACAAGGGATCATGGAGTGATCTTCCACCCAGCCCAGAAAAATGCCATTTCACTCCAAATCCTAATATGCAAAGGAAAAAATCTTCCTGAAATGGGAAATTCCCCAAACATTAATCTTTTTAAAGAAACTGTGACAGTACTGCTTTTTCAGCAAGGGAGGGAACACAATACAGAATCTTTTGCACAAAAGAAAAAAAAAATCTGCAATCCCTCCAATATTCTGATAGTCATTTTGCTAAATTTATCTCTTGGTTCTTTTCTGCATATAGCCTTAATTAATTCAAGCATCCAATATTCAGCATCTGTTCTATTGATGAGAAATAGGTGAAATGCCTTTAAAAAATGAAAGACAATAGGGCACATGTAATAACTAACTCTATAGCAGACTGTTGAGATGAGTTTTGTAAGAGACATTTATGACTCTCTATGAATGAACAGTCCAGGATGAGGCATTGTTTGAACTCAGACCGACACACTGAAGTCAAGGAACTGTGAATAGGTAGGACTGTGAGATCAATGAAGGAACTATGTGTTTCTCTCTGTCATTTTCAACATTAGAAAACAAGCTACATCATAAAAAGAGGCTGGATTCAGCTCTAGGTTAACAATAATTGCAGTCAATGGACCCTACAGGGGTCTGGCTCACCAGACACTACTAGATGTTTGCATTAGAGATAGCTGAATCATTCACTTCTACTGAGTAGATCTCCATTGGCTAGAAATTTAGTCCACATGTAAGTACTTTAAGTGGATACCTAAATTTACCCTAATCTTTTCCTAAATTCCATACTGTTTTATCATCCCGAAGTAAACAGGTGGAATGACCTTTATTTACTGTCTGTTCTAGAGCCTTTTTGCTCTCATATTTCCTTATTCCAGACCAAAGAGTAAATTAATTTTTATAAGTAGATGCAAATCCACGTCCTATGCCACAAATACAACACTCTAGGAGGAAAGAAGTAAGAACTATTACTTTAAAATTTCAAAATTTTTAAAGCCAAAAGGCCTTCAGTGGGAATATTTGAGAGTCACCATTCACGAAAGTGAGAAAGGAAGAAATGTAGAAAAATGAGCTCTTACTTGCTGGTAAACTGAATATACATACTCTACAGGATCTACAAAATGTGAGGATTTTGACACCTAGAAAAGCTCCACAGAATATACATATGGAGGATCAGAGGCTCCAAAGACAGACACACTAAACAAGATGAAGACTATGAATTCAAACAGGCACACCAGGAGATATGACTCAAGCCTACAAAGTCATAAGTGATACGGAGATAAATAAAGACATGATTAACTGCTACTTTCACAGCATAAATAGTAAGGCACATAGTGATTTTATACATTTAAACAGGTATTTAAAAAAAAAAAAAGACAAAAAGTGCTTCAAAGATTATATAATTACTTTGTCAGGCTCAATGCAATAGGAATATTATGGAAGCTAAAAGTGTAAGTAGCTTCAAGAAAGATTAGATAAAGTCTAGAAGGATAAATTCCTCAGTAGTTATTAAACATGACAGCCTGGACACCCTCTTGGGCTGTTAAAATCCTAAATGCTGAAAAGAAGTATCATTAGAGCAATCAATACGCTTGCTCAGACTTCTGTATGTTGATGTAAGCTGCAGTCGCTGTTGGAGGCAGAATGCTAAACCAGCCAGGCCCTTGGGCTGACCCAGTAAAGCAGCTTACGTAACACAGGAACAGCTTGCTTCTGTAAGAGTAATGCAGTATAGCTTGACTGGACTTCTAATACCATGCCCAATTTAAATTACAGAATCACAAAATCACACAAAAACACAGAATGGTTGAGGTTGGAAAGAATTCATGAGATGCACCACAAAATTTGGACTGCATACCTTATGGAAAAAGTATTCATTAATGTCATTAACTACCACACAGCAGGTTCGATCTGAAAATCAAGAAACACTTTTTCACTGTAAGGGTGACTGAGCACTGGCACAGGTTGCCCAGGGAGGTGGTGGAGTCTCCATCCTCGGAGATACTCAAAAGTCATCTGAACACAGTCCTGGATAAACTGTCTCTAGGTGGCCCTGCTTGCACAGGGGCACTGAACCAGATGACTTCGAGAGGTCCCTTCCAGCCTCAACCATTCTGTGATTCTTTGAATTGGTGAGGGAGAAAGCATATTGGCTCTTTCCTCCCTTGAGAGTTACTCTGGCAGAAAGTATCACTAGAAGGCCTGCTATAAGTGTTTTTATGCAGTGGAGACATCATATAAATCTTCCAGTTTCAGACCTCCTTACTTTTCCAATTAGCAGCTCTTAGAAGGATGAGAGTGAGAAAGAGCCTTTTGTAACTGACTATAAGCACTGGACTACTTTGCCCTTTCAAGACTGGGAAGAAATATATTCCTAAGCAGCAATCCATCCACCATCTCCACAGCAGTTCAAGGATGCAAAAGTATTAGCAGTCTAAGAATCACTGTGAAACTTCTTTTCATTTATCACATGACGGATATTCAGAATTGGTCTGATGCTCAACAGGGGCATCAGGTCCCTTCATAACTGTGATCCAGAACAATATCAAAGGAGGAGGAAGGATACACTGGGATTTTTGTATCTGTCACAGAAGAATAAATCCACCTTCCTGCTAATGTTTATGGATAGGCAATGACGGAACAGGGATGGCGTTGAATGGGAGGGAAGAAGCTCTCTGCTAGGTGGAAGTGATTATGAAATCATCATTTAGATGGTAACAGTTATTTCCAGGTGAAGGTAATTTGTGATTTTATTAATTACTTCTCCCCACATTCCCTGTACATCTGGGACAAAATTAATCCCTTTTTTTTTTTTTTTTTTAATTTCACAGAATAGGATTAATTCGGTTTGAAGCCAGCTACTGATCTTTCAGCAAATTAGCTTATTTCACAATTTATTTTTACTTTATTATCCTAAACAGATGGCAAAATTGATCATTTAAGTAATATACACAGTCCCCACGTAGTGGAGAAATGCATATATAATACACAAATTTGAAAACGTAGTCTTTTGTATCAATGCATGAAAATCACTGCTATTGTAGCAAGGCAGTATCAACACACAGTATTTTAACAAATGGATGTGTAATTTATAATGCTGTATCAGCTAGCTATCTATACACACACACACACACACACACACACACACATATATATATTTGTTATCCATAATAAATAGAGAGAAATGGTGAACTGCAAAATTATTATTCTATAGTAAGAATCTGCAGGGTCATAAACCAGGATAAGAGCTAAAAACCACAAAGAACATTCAATGGAATTGCAGCCTTATTAATGCTGTTCCTGGTTTATATTTTTATATAAAAAATGGTAAAGAAAACATCTTCATTTATAAGTGATGCTTGGTACGTTTGTTTTAAAAAATATCTCCCACTATCCTTTTATCTAGACTGATAGTACAGCCTGCATCTTAAGATGGCTTGGTGTGCACTCTCTCATACTTGTCGATATTTGCAATAAAGCACTTGCAAAATCTTTTGTTCAGAAACCCTGACGTCATTCTTGTGACTACAGACAACTGAAGTCTTTCCTGTGAATCTTGCACCTTTACTTATGTCAAATATTTTCTCAGTTAAAACCGTGAGAGTTGTAAAGACAAAGCATTTTACCATTAATGGCCTCGCTGAAATTTATGTTAATGTTTATACAATTGCTAGTCCATACATTCATATCTTTCAAATAAAATCATGCAAAGCAAGATTTTTGCTAGCTAACTAGAAGTAATAGTAGAGGCAAAGTAATCTCAGTTGCTGAATGGCTAGAACAAGGAATTAAGCTTTTATTGCCAAAATAAATTTGTAGCCCTCAGTACTTACTAACCACATTACCTCAGCAAAGCCTCTTTGTCCCTCCTGGGACTTATTTTCTCCCATTTCAAGGGCCAATAATAACTTGTTTAAGGGACTAATATGCTTAAGGGATGCTCAAGATAACAGATATGATATGAAAGAAATAGTCACAAATATTATATGCACAAAAAGGCATCACATTCAAATACTGTAATTACTATTGACAATGATGCAACATTTACAAAATATTTCTCCATTTTTCATGAAGTATTCTATTAGGCTACTCAGCTTGCCTGAGCTGTGATCACCTAAGAACTTAAAACTTCTTAAGAACATTGGAGTGGATAAAAATATCAGCCTATTTCAATACAAGATTAAAGAAAAAAAAAAATAAGGGAACATAGGCCAGAACCTACTGAAGGAAAAAGTAAACAGAGTAGTGAGGGGATGACTTGGTATCATTTGGCATGCAAACAAATGGTGGCCATGCAAAAAAAAAAAAAAATAAAATAAAATTTATGAATATCAGTGACTAGCCTTCATAAATCAGGTAATTTTGTTACAGGAATCACGATTTGTAAACATGGTCCTAATGGTCTTGTATTTCAAAAGAAATATTAAATACCTATGAAATATTACCCTTACTTAGTAAATACTTATGAAATATTATCCTTATTTAGTATTACTTCTCTAATAAGATTAGCATTTCAAATGCAAAATGTTATAAACACTCTGTATATCAGAGCTTAATGGCTTCAACTATACACTTTCATTTTTTGAGGGAATTAGCAGAGAGTGGACATGAGTCCCTAAAGAAGAAAAGTCAGCTGCAAATATTGTATTATTAGCAACATTTTCTAATATAACCACTAGGTGGAAATATTGTACTTACAGTTGGGGATGTGGCTGCTGACAGCAATGGTAAAATTCCTCCACAAGCAATAATAATATTGTCTACCATCTGGGAAATGAGGTGTATTGTGTTGTGTACAAAAATAATATTTTCATTGCTATTGACAAAGTCCATCACAGACTTTGTGGAGTGACTGCAAGAACAGAAGAAAGAATGAATTAAAAACAGTGAAAATAAAAGTTTAGATCAAATTTATTCTTTACAACCAGACTGTGAATGTTTCTTTGATATAAAGGCAGAATCTGGTCTACAAAACTTTGCATGTAAATTGTCTAAAAATATGAACAGGACTAGTCTAACGAACAAACTGATTGGTATCTATTTTCACACCAGGAATAGTTTCAGATACCCAGTTGAGAACAATGGCTTGTAACCTTTTATTCCCATCAACCAGTACTTCACAAGCAGTTCTGCTGATAGCAGCAGGGTTTTTTCTTCAGCACAAACATTCTTACTTAATATTAACAGTTCATCATAATGCACTACTGACATTTGAAGCACCCTTGATAACACCTAATGATAACACCTGCTAGTGTTTTAAAGGGGAAATTTGATAACATGGTGATATCTTGATCTAACATAAATTTTATTAATTAAAATTTCAGCAACAGCTTTGCAAGCCACAGAAGCTAATAAGATTAGCTGAAATCTCAGCAACTCTTAATTTTTGAGAAATTGTCCCATGAAACACTCACTCCCCAAAATAAGAAACTGTGAAAATACTGAGGAATACTCGGTCTATAAGTATGTTCTTTTCCCGAAACACTGTTGCCAGCCAGCTAAGAAAAATGAAAGGTTTCAGTTGAAAATGTACAAACTGAACTTTAATCTCCAAGAATTACCTAAACAAAAAGTACAAACCCCTCCCCACATGTGGCCTAAAATAAAATAAAATAAAATAAAATAAAATAAAATAAAATAAAATAAAATAAAATAAAATAAAATAATTTTCTATTTCTTCGTGACTACCACAGAACAGTTCACCAAACTGGAAATGAAATGCAATGTAGATTGGTCCTCAGATATAACTCTGCTCACGTTTTCTGAAAATGAACTATTGTGTCCTGGAAATCAGATTAAATAGTGTCTGTTATACCTAAGGGCTCTGATAACAATAAGTTATTGAGCATCTCTGTTAAAGTGTACAAAAATCCTAGGAAATCCCGTTGCTGTCATTAAATATAACCACAAAGACTAACCACAACCAGGAGCTGGCATACAAAAAACCCCTGTCAATTAGAAAGAGTGATTCCTTAGAAAATGTTATAAGAAAGAGGTTTTATTTATAAGGTTTGCAGGTAGAGAAGCTCTTTTAATTGATCATTTGGAGAAAATAGCAATTAGGAGACACATAAGTATTCCTCATGTCTGAAACAGAAGCAGCAGATACTAATGCTAAACATAAGCTAAAAGAACAGCTCAGTTTAGTTAGATACGTATGAGTTACAAAATACCTCGCGGAAACAAAATTGTTACCTGTGAAATAGAGCTGTTACAGGCTGGGAAGGGGTGAAAAGAGAAGATACAAGATTCAGAGGGCCACTTCAGCCAACACTAACTCTTTCCCTTCCCACTATCCCAGTAAGATCCTCTAAAACACATATATTTTTCCCTTGTTGATGGAAACACAAATCAGGATTTAAAGAAGAAACAACCACCTACCTTCTCCAAACATGTACATCTGTTTCTAGTGCAAAAAGCAAGTCTGTCAGGAGCCGCTGGTGCATGGGAGACCATTTAAACTCTGGGATACGAAACATAGTTGTGCGTGGACCTGGACTAAACTGTCGTCGTTGCTCTTCTGTCATTGGCATTCCTCGAAATCCCAAGTCAACACGTAAATCCCGGTCTTGCTGGGTAACAGATCGACCCTGTACCGCCTACATCAACAAGAGGTTCAAAAATCACGTTAACTTTTTGTAATGTGTTTTTGAATAGATGACAGAATCTGAGAAAGGATGGGCTAAAACCAGACTCAAGCAAAAACTACAGGAGACACTGATATTACAAGGCAGGCACTATCCTTCAGTAAAGGAGCTGCTCCAATTCAAATCAATCAGCACTGAGAGGCTATGACTGGCTTTCCTCTCAGCTATTCACCAATGTTTTACACTCAGGTTCTTCACTTGAAGTATTACAGAAAAGACCAAAGGCAGCCATGTACAAGGTCATCAGTGACAAGACTTTAATTATAGGAAACAACTATTCTTTTGTGCTGAAAACACAATTTTCTTTGAATAATTGACTCAAAACATGGACAAACTACACACTGATGGCTTCAAGGAATTAGTGTACTTTTACACAGCTCATCATTTTCCAAAAACAATTTATTTATGCCATCTTTTTATCAGGATCATTAGATAATCAAGTCTCAAATCTCATTTTGCCAGTTTCATTACACTTTGGTTAACAGTTTTATGCATCCTTAGGATATTCTTTAGATTCTCCCAACAGGTGGTTGATGTGAATTTTATTCCCTTTCAATACCTACATCCTCATATCTATCTCCACTTGGTGATTAAAGACAAAAGTAAAAGATATGCATAGAGGATATGATGGAGAATACCGTGAAGGAAAAGGTAATAAAGAACAAACATTTTGGCTGAATTTAAGGCAAATACTTATCAAAATTACTTATAATACGCAACATCTCTGAAAGGAAGAAATACAAAGTTGGACCCCTGAAATTATTTTAAAGTGACATTATATTAGTTTAAAACTGGCAAATATACTATAGAAAATATACTTGATTCGCTCATATATTCATTTCCTGATTTAAATCTGGACATTTAAAGAAAAAAAGACTTTTACAAAATATTTGTGCTAGCAGTGTTAAAAAGGACATGGCACAGGAGTTGAACTGGGAAGATTCTTGGATCTTTACTCTCATTTTGATCTGCTATAGCAAGCATTTTGAGAGCAGGGCAGGTTCTCTTTTGGGTACAACTACAGTTAGTTGTCATTTCAGCAGCACTAATGGTATCATAAATGTACCATAATAGAAGAGTTTTTATCTAGCCAATAATACTTTATTTGCAAGAACAGGCTTTGACATGCATTGCATAACCCCCCCTGCAAACCACAACTATCTACACTTGGGTGGCCAGTCTTTCAGTCATTTTCAGTGGTCTCAAAGAGATCAAATCTAACATGGCAGTTCCCACACATGCTGCAATCAAAACTTCAACCTCTGGCTCCACTGCAGGCATGTTAAAATTAACATTGCTCTTTACTCATGAAAACAATAATGCTTATGTTTTATATATATTTCTATGTATTTTTATTAAAGTTAATTTAATTTAAACAGAAAAGGTTTAACTATGGACAGCTTACAGTTCACAGGGAATTTCTCAACACTCAAATAAGATATTGGAAGATAACAACAATTCTGGTGGTTAGACAGTTGATAATTGTTTTTAAGAAAATTATTTAAGAGAGATATTAATGGCTACAGATTTAAACCAATTCAATGGAGTTTATCATTGATTTTTGTCGGAGAGGACTATAATTTAAGTAGTATATGGAGAATCAAGGGAGGTAAATAACTTGTAGAGTCAGACCCTTGAAGAATACACAGTTTACAGATAATCTGCAGATCCAAATAATATGTTAGAAATTTTGTGAGTAGCTAGGAGTAAAACATTTGGAAAACATTTTGTTTCTCCTAATTTACTATGATCTGATAACAGTTCATTAAGTTTTATGTATAATTTTAAACCTAACAAATAATTATAGGCTTGATAAATTTACATTTTTATAATTCAAGTGTTACAACTGAAATTCATCAAGAAAAGAGGTAAAGGAACAGAAAAGTCCCGAAGTCACACTGACAGGCTTTTCTACAGTAGCTAGTACAAAGTCATATTATATTTTTCATTAAAGATTTATCTTACAAATTCACTGTGTTTATGGGTGCATATAGGTACATAGCAAATGAATACTAGTATTTTGCTGAGTACAAATTTTGAGAATGCTATGGTTCTCACAAAACCACCAATTTCTCAGAGTTTTTCAGAGGGAGACCTAGATAAGAAAGGATCTCCAAGAAGAAAGTACATACTACTTCTTTCATTAATCATCTCTGATCTAGAAATCAAATCACAGTTTTTCTTCTATTATCCCGAAACTACTCCTTTTCCAGTGTTATGATCAAATGTCGAGATTACTTATGCCAGCATTCCTGTACAGGAAGAAAGACAGCGTACAAACATGATGTAAGACTACACTCTGAGAAAGGTAGAGTAAGAGTAAAAAACACTTCTGTGTGTATTTCATAATAAAGTATAGATATTTCTAATCTTAAAACATACTACAAGAAAGTCTAAAGCAAAATTCTAAAAGTATCAGTTAATCTGTCCAGAAGAACTAAGGAAAAATGTATGAGAGAATCACTTAGCAAGGTGTTTTTTTTTAAAAACCAAAGCATCTACAATTGCAATACATATTTTCTATAAAGACATGAAAGACTTCACAATCCTTACATGTTACAGCATTTTCAAAGTACATATGCTTGGAGGACGGACACCTTTCATATAATTAAAGAAATATAGTTCAAATGTCTCTCAGACCTCATACTATCAATTTATCAATGAACAGCAATTACATCAGACATATATATGGCTACAGCACTTGAAACTTACCTGGGTTGTGGTAGTTGTCTGGATCTTCCGTATCTCCTTTCCTGCTTCCTTACCATCATCAGATCTTTCTGTATCTGATATTATACTTCCTGCATCAACACTAGGTACAGTTTTGCTACCAGAAGACTCTGTCTCAAGAGTTGTGGCAGTCATTTCAGCATATTCTAATCCTTTAGATGACGAAGCCAAGTCCCTCTCAGAAATGCTACTCATTCCATCTGAAGTTGTATGAATCTTGAACTCCTTGTCCTCTATTATACTTGAAGCACATGTTATATCTACACTACCTGTCATATGTGCAAGCAATCCCAAATCATCGTTTACACCAAGATGCATCTGCGTCTCTTGCACATTTGGAATAGAAATGTGATTACTTGAAAGTTCAGGTAGAAGTTTCTCCTCCTGACTAGGTATTTTATCAAAGAGAAATGAGGTACTGTTATTAGAAGGTTCATCTTTCTCATCAGCCAGAGTTATTAATGGACCATTATCTTTTTCTTCATTCTTCTTAATAATACCCACACTTCCATGAACATTATTTTGGAGCTTCTCAACAGCAGCACTATATACATTATCTAGAAGTGATTCGACTTCTACAAGTGCACCATTTTCTCCAGTTACCAGTGTTTCTGGTGATAAATCCATATCATCCAGTTTTACTTCAGTAGCTTCTACCTTTTCAGCTTTTATATCAACTAAAAGGTCATGAACTTCCACATGCACTCCTCCTCCTGGTCTCTCAGCACTTCCAAGCACATCATCTGACACCTTTGTAGCCATAAGTAAGTCCCTCGTATCTGTACTGACAGGGTAATCTGTTTCACTTTCTGGACTTTGACTTTGTGAAAGGTCTTCTATCTCTCGAATTTCCATTCCACCTTTTGCTCCTGTTGTCTGAGAGGAAAGACCTGAGATAGTGCTCACATTCCCCTTCTTCCCCTTTTTGATGTTTTCTTCCTCTTGCCTTTGATACTCTTCATACATTTTTGCTAGATACTCCTTGTGAGCCTCATATGTGACCTTAAAAAGAAAACAACAGATGGACAAATACTAATAAGAATCTTAATAACATATTACATACAGCTTACAAATTGTTTCACAGCAAAGGACCAACGATGACGAAAAAATGCCACCTTGACATGTATGGAGATAGCCACCAGATGGCACTAAATCACTTTACATCTTACTATACTGCTATAGTCCCTTTGCGAGAGATAACCAGTATTAAAAAAAACATCCACGAGCCATTTCTTACCTTGGAATGAGCTATAGAAAGAGTATCCACCCACACTCTCCATCCTCCCCATTCATATTTTATTGCATGATACAAGAGAATACGGAAAATGTTGTAAACCATCTCTGTGATCTTCTGCTCTTCAGAGTTCTTAGGGTTAATGTATCCCAGAGAAAACATCCAGTCCTGCCACACTGAACACTGAAGTAAACATCTAAAGTGAAATAATTAGGTCAAAATATATCCAAAAAAAGCTTCTTTATTTTAACATTATGATGGCTAAAACGGGAGGAACATCTCCTCTGAAAATCAATCTAATGGTAGGAAGAAAATTAAAAACACTTCAGAATGAATAAAAATTTGAAGTATATTCTAAACAGAAGAACCCAATATTAGTCGCTGAAGTAAGAAAAGTGACCACAAACCTATTCCATTTATTTTTTTATATTCCATTTAACATACAGTATAAAACCACAGAGTGTATAAACAGAACGCTATTACCCACAAATCAAGGATGAGAAAATACTGATTGTAGTGACATACCTTCTGTTTTCACGGCTATTACTAAAGAGTTTTATCATATCAGATAAGAATAAACGTCGAACTTCCATCAGCTCTGCACTTGGCGTGGAGTTTTTTAACAGCGTTGCCACCACCTTAAGAATCACTTTGAAAGAACAAATTAGTTATGTAACACATTTTAACAACATTTTTAAAAGTTGCTGACAGCAACTAATGTAAGCAGTAATTGAAACTCATATGTATCTGAGATACCCTAATGAATTGTTCTAGATTCCTGAATCATATTCTCTCAAAGACCCCCCACAACCTCTAGGCAATACATTTATCATAAAAACATAATATATTTTCCTTACTTGGATTCTGTATTTTCACTGTAGAATCTGGCTCTGGATGCGGTTTATGAACAACTTGAGTGCATACTTGTTCTGTCAAAATCTAAAACAGAATATTAAGTTTCTTTTACCATTTTAAATTAAATGCTACAGCATTTCTTTGTTTGTTTTTAAATTTGCTAAGAACATTTACCATGGTCACACTGTAACTTCATATAAAACATTTTGGTAAAACATTATTATTCCTGAAGAATGGAAACGAGCAATTCCTCTACACGAGAATCAAGATTTTCATGGTTGTACAGTGGCTGCTTAACTAAGTTTTTACTTAGATGACTAAACATATAATATTGGTGTTTTAAAGATATTTCATTCATATTCCTCATAGTGTTATACATTTACAGATCAAACTTCTTTCACGAGCACTGTACATCAAAAGATATTCTCATACATTCCATCCATATCCAAATTAAATAATTCTTAAAAATGGGTTTATTTTTCTCCAGCTAGGAAAGAGGAACAGTCACAGGCAACATTCCATAGGAATAATCCTGGGGCTTCACATAATGAGCAAGACAGATCATTCTGTTTCATGAATTGTACCTGACAAACTAATTAATCTGTACTGAGGCAACACCACAGACCTTTCATGCTGGGATACCTGTCACTGGTTCTATGCATGCAACTTTATTTCTCAGAACAAGCTATAAATTTAAGAATATTAACACACGAATCTCAATACGTATATTCAAGCAAATGTATTTCAAAATAGAAAAATTTCACTAGTAATTCTTAGTTAGTTTAAAGCAGAACTTTAGCTCATACATTAATCAATAGTCAAAATAAAGTTGCAAACACGGTATCTTTGAATAGGTTTTCATATATTAGTATTTAAAATAGAATGTAAATATGCCTTAGCTTTTTCTGAGAGAACATGGAAAATATCTGCATCAGTTCCTTGGAAAATCTTTTGTACTTATGGTATTAACTCCTTTTTCTCCTGCTCTGTATATTTTTTCAAATGTAAAGGTCTGTGGATGCTGGACTCCATGAGGACTTTAAATTTGTCACTGAGTTATCTGTTTTCTGAGGATACCAGTCACAGAAGCTCTCAGAAATCTGAATGCAGAGACATGTAAGACTGCGAGACCCAAGTGGTCAAACCACACAGGGTAAGCTTAGATGTGTGCAATGAAAAAGAACTTGATGTCTGAATAAGTCATTGGCAAATAGATGACGTTTAGGTTTTTACAATCATAGGAGAGCAGTTTCTACATCACTCAGACACAGAATCCTAAATACCGAGCGCTCCTTTAGTCTTCTGTGTCTTTTCTGGAACCAGTCCTGAGTGTCTTGTCATTACACCTATTTGTGACGTAAAAAATCCCCTAAACAACAACAACAAAAAAAACCCCAAAACTTTCTAGTCCATCAGATCATCAGAATTTGAAAGAAATTCAATTCTAAGTCACCATTTTAAAAATAATTTAAGATTGGACATGATATTTATGCATTTGCAGGTATGAGGACATCGGTTTCGCCCAACGATGTTGACAAAATTTTGCTTTAACAAAACTACTCATCATCAAAACAAAGTTTGTATCAGAGCCTGATAGAACAGTTGAATGCTTCGAGGTCATATTCACTCAGCTCAAGTAGTATCTGTTACATAAAAGTGGCTGTGCTCAGATATCATTTTGGCATACTATCAGCATTACTAGTTAAGAAAGAAAAAGAGCAGTTTTCAAAATTTTGTAAACTTGAAAGGAATGGCACAAAAAAGAAAGAAAAAAAAGGCATATCTGGCTCCAGACTTTCCATTGTAATGAAAACAAACTCCTTCAAACAATGGACAATGGAGGAGTAAGAGCAATTGGAGGTCTGCAATAACTTTTTTTTTTTTTTTTGTGGAAAGTGCTGAACATCTTAAATATCAGGATCTCTTCCATCACCCTTTGTAATGCTATACGTGGAAATTTTTATAAAGACTATGTAAAAATTATGACATTGTAATAAAAATATCCAAAGCATGGCAAAATACATTCTGAACCAAGAAATCCTTTCTTAAAATTTCTGTCTAAAATTTTCTCAAAAGTCTTGTGAATTGGGATATTGTAAAGCACAGAGTCACAACAATATAATTAAGTTATAAATTTTACAACATAGATGACAATCTCTATGTTTAATAATTTGTACCTCATAAAGCGTGTTGTATGTGGTAACGGTCACTGTGTTTGTATGCAGCATCAATCTTTCTCCAAGAAGTGTGAAAAGACTGTGAGTATGCATGATTTCAACCTTTCGCCTGGAAGAGAAAAAAAAAAAAAATTAGAAAAAATGCCAAGCAAGTTGAACATTTTAAATAAATGCAAAAAACCCAAAAGTCAAATATATATTGTACTAAAACGTTCTCAAAATTGTAATTCTCTAAATATTACGAAATAAACATAATTTAAGACCTTTCTCAATATGAATGCAATTGTAGTAATACACAAACATTCTCAGAAAGTAATGTTGCATTTGGGGTGAACTTTTTGCGTAAAACAAATCACACACCGTTCTCACCCTCCCTGATTTTCACTGTGGAAAAAGACATGGCATCCCATTCTATCTTACTCAGGCTGAGAGAGTTCAAGATGTTCACAGTCTGGCTAAAATGTGATCACTGCAGAACACATCTTTTGTTGCTTTCTTAGGGACTCAGGACAATCCAACCCCAGATCTTCCAACAAAATATGAACACATTACAGACTTATCAGTACTGCCACTCTCTTATATAGCATTCTGTCATGTAGCCAAAATAATTATATCCTGGAATAACATAAGTTAAAATGCAAAGGAAACAAAATCCTGATAACTTATGAAATGCCAAATGGTTGAAGTGTATTTTATAGCTAGGATCAAAAACTACTCAAATCTTAAAAAGTGGAGAAAAAATCAGCTCATATCAGTGAATTCCATCTGTCCCAAAACATTACTCTTTTAAACCAGACATAACATCATAAATAGAGTACTTGTCATAAATGACATCATTAAATTTATCTACTACTATAATGAATATGAAACACAAAACATTACTCAAAATAATTAATAATCCATATTACAGAAGCATAAAATATTAAATAAGAAAATACAGCAAAGTTTCTGTAAAATTCAAATGCTAAGAAACTCCCTTACCATTATTATTGCTGATAATAACACAGGTTTAAATTACATAGATTAATTCTAAACTTTTGAAACAAATATATTGTATTATAATTTTCAAATAACCACAAAGGACAGTGGCAACAACTTATAACAGTGTGTACTCTTCACGAACATGGTTCATGAGTTATTTATGAGAAAAACTACAGCTATTTACGTTGTGTGATGTGATGTAGCACATGGAAGAGAAATTTCATTGAAAGGTTTAAATGTGCAGATAAAAAACAAAAGTAAATAATGGACTATGATTTCAGTGGTGGCATAGAAAGAATGAAAGATGGCAGAGAAGGAAAAGAACAGGATTTTGCCAGCTGTTAAGGTTAGAGAAAGTCGTCTGTCATCACAGATCACAACGAAAAATCAATTAAGTTATTCAGGCTCTCATCTACTGGTCACTTCTGAGAATCAATTACCTCCACTTATAGCTTAATCTGTGATGAATATATATGAACTACAGCAATGGTAATTGGATTTGGTACCTATACATTTGTTAATAATATAGTATTGGTTCAGATTTCATAAATCACATTATAACATCTCTGTATGTAATTTTGCTTTACTGTATTAAAATACAATGTCCATTTTCTGTACTGTGAAACAAAAATTTTAGTACTTCATAATTTTATATATTTTACAATTCTATAGTCACTTAAAATTTCCTGTAGTTGACTATAATTTTATAAAAGCATGCATATACACACATACGTATGTGCACAAATAGGCACAACTCAAATGCTAGCTGCAAGATATGAAAAGGGGGGGGGCATTTTTAATTGTTGAAATTACATAAAATGTGAACATTTAAAGATGTTTGGAGGTCTGAAAATTTTTAAAAAAACTTTGAAAGTTGAACAATACTAAGTGGATTTAATTGACTTAAATTACATGAAAAATAAAATTAATTTTGTGCTAAGTACTTTCACTCAACAATGGAAACTACAGATACATCCATAATTACAAGTAGATGCTAAAGACAAGGAAATTAAATTTCAGCTTCTGAAAAATCTCACTTTTCTTTTTCTGTAATGTTCTACTGACAGAGTCTGCTACTTGACTTACTGGACAAGGAATAAATATTTTAAAGAAATGTACTTATTTGGACACAACCAGACTTCTGCACACATCAAAGCGTCATCTGGTGTATTTGACTTAATCCAACTCCTATCAATGTGAATGAATTTAGTAAGTAATGTTTGAAAAGCCCTTGGAGATTCTTGAGTGGACTGTCAATTTGCTTTATTAATTCCCAGAATACTATTTGGCTTGCTGGATCCCAAAAGAAAAATCCCATTTGGAGGCATATTCTCAGCTAACTGTCTCTCAATTATACAATCATATTTTATCGATCTTACTGAGAAAAACGTGTCTAGCAATACTGCACTCTGGCTGGACTCCTAGCTCTGTTACCTTCTAATGAGGTTTTACACGAAGTTGTCTCTTGTGAAGCACATGGCTAATTCTTATACTGCAGTCTCCTACTGGAATAACATTTTTGGTTAATCCTAGCAGGATCTAAACACCGCATATATGTAAGGGGAAAAGTGAGCAGCAGCAGGTTATGCAAAACTGCATGCTTTTAATTCTTTCAACATCAAAATATGGAAGTTGAGCCTAAGTATCTCTGTTTCATGACACCAGTTCTTTCTAAATGTGAATGTTTATTGCATAAAGGTACATCCTTAGCTCCTTTTATAAGACTAATTACTTAGTCTGTTTGCTTTTCCATCTGAAACTTTCTCATGTGAAAACGTGTTTTTCTATTCCATTCTTCCCATCATTTTAAAGCTATTTTAGAAGTACTGCCCCGAAACTTTTATTGCAATGACACTGAAAATTCCAGGAACAAACATTTCCTGACACTCATATGTTTCCTGATATTCTTAGCTGAACATGTAATACACATTTATAAAATATATTTTTGAAAATGTTTTTCAATCATTTTAAGACTTGAATTTCAGCATATCATATATTTGGCAGACAATTCTGTATCTTTTCAAAAGTGACAGTAGTAACAAGTTAACTGAAAAATTTATTTTATCCCAATATATAAAAGTAATGTAGTATGTAAATTATTAATCAGAAAACCTAAAAATTTTATTTTAAGTCATTTCTAAAGACTATCAAAGAATATACAGTAATCATGACAAAAAGACAATAAGAATTGTTAACTTAAATATATCACTACAAAAATTTTAAAACTCCACTTACTTATGACCCAAGTGTTTAAGAAAATATCCAAGAACCTTCAAAGCTTGCACCCATATACTCTCACTTTTGGAAGCCAATAACTTATATATTACTCTAAAAAGAAAAAAAAAAAATCAACCAGTCCTTCAGTTTATTATGAAACACCATATATACATAGATTGTATTTCACTGAATAGGGATATTTCTTAATAAATAAAACTATAAAAATAGCAATTTACACAAAATGTAAGGATATACTAAAAGCACCATGTATAGCGTAAGGATTTGATTATGAATTCTTTAGGTTAGAGACATGGTACCATTTTGTTGAGTTCAATGTTTTATAACAGAAAATGACAACCATATCTTATACTTCTATCTTGAAACAACCGAACAAAAGACAGTCTGAGCATTTGTAGCTTCAGACAAGGGAAGCAGACTGAAGCACATTAGGTGCTTCATCCTGGAGTATCTTGGAGAACTTGGATGCTACTAAAAATTTCTTTTCATTCTTAAAACCCCTACTCAATAATATCTTTTCTACAGAGGATACTCTACCTGCATTTAGTCACAGGATGTTTATAATGAAATTTCATTTAACAAAAGTAAAATATGGCAATATGTTACACAAAATCCCATATACACCTATAAAGCCGCATCCTCACTACATCTACAGTTATTAATTTTATTGTCAAACAGATAAATATGAATTCCACACACAGTGTTTTAATCTTTTCAGAGAGAATTTGAGAGGTTAGGGCATGATTTCTCTTGTTTCCTCTTCTTCACTCCAGATTGTTAAACATCTGAAGACAGAATATTCAAAATTATTCTGAGATAGATACTTGGCTTTTTGATTCATATTTGTTAATTACATATTCTATCTGAGATTGAGAAGTAAGAACAGTACATTTACCTTCAAATATAATGATAACCTTAAGTTGAAAATTTTTCCTCTGAAATATCAAAACCACTCTGTAAGATCAACAAGTGTGATATTTAGGTGAAAAGGAAGCAATCTGGAGAGTGATGATACTGGAACTACTTTTAAGATATTTTCTCACTTCACTGTCTTACCGTATCCCATTTCTCTGATCAAAGGCAGGTATCATGGATGCTGGATGTTCGGACATTAGTGCCACTAGCAGCTGCAGCACATCGTGAATATTTTCATCCTGTATGACAAGCATCAATGTTATTCTACAAACTAACCTCAACAGCAGGCTTCCCATAGAGCTGTTGTAATTGTTTACAGTAAAAGACAGGTAATTACAAAAATGTACCTCATGCATTGTTAATAAGTAGTTTAATATGCTCTGCAGTTCATCTTCTTTCACTCCTCGATCCTAAAAAAAAAAAAAAAGGGGCATTATCCAGAGAAAATACATTCTTTAAGTTTGGCTCAAGAAAAAAAAAAATTGGAACATGTCAAATAATCCTACTTTTTCTTTCTACTCAAAAGACTAATTTATGTCTTTCATTCAATTGCTTTTCCTTATCACACTGACAATTTAAAACAGTACGAAGTCAGCTCTCTATTCCTGCTAGAAAGGATTATTAGTGTGAGCCCTCAGATACTACAAACTATATGACATAGAGCTGAGGGATATGGTGTAGTTGGGAACTGTCAATGTTAGGTAAATGGTTGGACTGGATGATCTTAAAGGTCTTTTCCAACCTAGATGATTTGTGATTACTGTCATTCCTCCAATCCCTGAGACAGAATCGAGGAATAAACCAGGCCAGAAAATACTGGTTTCAGTCTAGTCTCAAATGGCAGACAATACCTCAAAGACTAATGTTCAGCTGTAACAGGGAGAAACAGTCCTACACCATTTCAACCAGAGGTAGAACCAAAAAAAAAAAAGGATGAAGCAATAACTAACTTAACTGTCATTACCTTTTTCATTTGATGAATCAAGCAACTAACTACTATCACCCCCAAAAAGCGCCCAAATGCCTGAAGGTTCTGTAGTCTCATATACTACTTCTGCAAGTACATATAATTAAATATATATGGCATAACATGGTGAGGTTAATAAGAAATACTATGCAAATTTACTACCTTTATGTTGTTTAGAAGTATGTGCATAAACATTAGAACTAACCAGAAACACATACAATATCTGACAGGTATACATATGAAAGATCCTACTACATGCACATAACACCTCAAATATTTTCTAACTGGAATAGACTTACCTTCAATATAAGTTGTTTCAAAAACAGAAGCATAAATGCCCTTAGTGATATGATTTCTTTCTGTGAGGGCCGAGGACCATCTGGAAGAAGCAAAATATACCACTTTTAAATACAAACAAATTGCTTTAATGAGTGCAGCTTCTTAAGGAAATCACAGCTCCTACATCAGATTTAGTATTCTATTCATTACATCAAAGTTCATATTTACAAATTATATCATTTATAACTTCTCAGAATCACATTTTACAACACCAATATACTAAGTGATGTTTCATTTGGAATTAAAGAAATCCATATTTATGTTTTGTTTTTTTAAACAAAGAGACAGGAAGATTAAAGTTATCAGGTCTATACACGTACAACTAGATTGTGTATGTTCTGTAGGTGTCTTCATATGAACTAGGAGTTTCAAATCCCAGTATGAGCACCTACTCTCTTAGTTGAGTAGATCTACTCAACTAACCCAATGTCAGTGCCCAATTCAGGATAAAAATTATTAGTTCTATTGACTACATTGAGTTGAATTCCACTGCAAACAATGGGAATTTAAACACCTGGCACAGGCTGCGCTGTGGACATGTAAACTTAAAGGGGTCTGAATATAAAGTTGAATATTGCCTAAAATTTGTGGTAACAACTTGGGATAACTAAGCCACTATGTTAATACCACCTGAATGAAAAACAACAGAGAAAGAACTAACAAAATATTACTGTTGGCCATTACCTGTAGCAGAAGCTGAAGTTATTTAACCAAAGCGAAACTACCATCTACAGAAAATATTAAAGTTAGATCAGCAAAAAAAATAAAGAACCTGTAATTCATAATACTTTAAATAAGTGTGCTTGCGGAAATATATTAGGAAAACAGAAACATAAAAAAATAAACAGAGCTTGAAAATCTATATTCACTTGAAAGCTGCTCTACTGTATTTTCAATTCTCCCCTTTTGTAAATAGTTAAGGTTGAACTGGAGATTCCTTTGTTAAATTCCTACTTTTCAAACAATGACTGCCAGAGACAGTCTTAAATTTTGCACAGTAAAAATAAACGTAGCCTAATTTATTTTTTCATCAACCATTTCATCTTATGCTGATAAACACATATCAAAGCTTAATAACACTCTGTATTTCAGTATTATTTCCAACCCAGATGAACGCAATTTATGAAGACTTTTTTATAGTCTCCAGTGCCACTTTTTGAAGTGAAGCCACTGATGTACACACCGTAATTCAAGTTTTCAACAGCAGCAAACCTGAAGGGAAGTTATATTTGTTTGACTAGCAGGAACAAGAAGAGTGGTTAATTGTCTCTGTCCTGTCTAGAACTGGTGAGTGGAGAATTAGGTACTTTTCAGAAAGAAGAAAATAAATCTCAACCTCTCCCCACCACCATGTGTAAAAACAGTACAGATACAGTTGTAAGAAAACTATGATATAAGTTTTAAAGATATTGAAACAGGTTTATAACCATACATTCTAACAGCACCACAAAACATCTATTTCCCATTGTAGAAACAGAAGTAAACACTAGCTGCAACTACATTAAATACAATTTTATGGCAGTGATGTGTTTCTAGCCAAAAGCTATCTTTTTTCCCTAATTCAAATACAGATTCAACTTCACTAACTGCATCACAGAAATCTGTTTCTTTGCACACCCTCTTCCCTCCGACATCTTATTGGGATTCAATATTGGGCAATATCTGAAAACCAGGGTTAATAACTGAGTCATTTTGTCTTTGCTGAAAGACTGTATTTCCAGAAATATAACACAGAACACTAAGCCAATGAGGAGCTCTGCAAAGCATTTCTGTAACAGAAATTTTAAGGAGGGATTAAAAAGGAGATATCCCAAAGTAACTGGGAACCTGGTCAAAGATATCCGGGTTTCATACTTCATATTCATACAGCCACTAGTTTCTCTGAGAGCCCTGAAAAGGGTTCTTCAAACATGCAAATGATACCGAAGGAGGTGTTGCTTGCAGGTTATATACCAAGCAGGCAAAACAGTGCTTCCTCCTTCAGTCCTCCAGTATTTGGTTGTCCTCGTGTATTTTGGTTCTGTCTTGAAGCTTCACGGCATTAGAATCAGAAAAAAAGGGGACAGCCTCTACTCAGAAGACTACATTAGTTTGAAAAATCAAGAGGACCAGTAGAGAAAAATAAGACATTGGAGAAACTGGAGGCTATGTAATCAGTAGGCAGCTACAAAAAGTGGAAGAAAGGACTGCAGCAATAGTAAGAGAACAGTCATATGATACAGATTGAATGGAATTAAATAATCGGGAAAATTTTAAAGCTACATAAAATGGCTTTGCCACTGTTATGTCACCATACTTTTTGGCTTTATTACTAGTTGAAAAACTTCATTATTAGTTGAAGATTTATTTTTTTTTTTAAATGAATTATTGATCAAACAATGGTATAATTTATGCTGTAATTAAAAAATATCCATTATACTTAGGTATAAGGAGTATTCATTGTACTGAGGTAGAGACACGTAGATCTTGTTTTTCAACCCAAACATTAAAAAGTTTTCTTTATTAATCTTTGTACCCATCACTAGATATAGACAATTCAGTGTAACTACCATTCAGAAACTGATAAACAGTACAGCTAAAGACTAAAACCAAACCCAAACTAAATCAACAAAGATAATCCTTTTAAAATTTGGTACAGCAACCATAAACCCCTAAACCAAAATAGCTACATTCTTGTTAATTGGCAAAGAGAAAGGATGCTTCCCTTATCTCACACCAGGATGACTCACTAAATCATTTCCAGCTTTTAGACTCTTTATGCATGTATTTATTGCAGATAGCACATGCTTTGCATCAGATTTTTTTTTAAATATACACTCATGATGAGAGTTAGCCAGCTTTATGTAGACAAAAATAAATGAAAAAAAATTATCCAATTCATCTTTGCAGCACAGAGCAATTATAGGGGCATAAACCAGAACTAATTAAGAGGGAATAAGTAAACATATTCAGAGTAAAGTACAATCAGTAATGGCGTAAAAAAATGATTGGGAAATTTGAATAAAAAATAATGATTTCTAATCCTGTCTTTGGAAATAAAACTGTGTTACCAGCAACAAAACACAGAATTCTCCCATCTGGCTTCTTTATATGTAAAAAGCATGATTTTTCTACCCTTAAATTAATAAAACATGATACAGATATCAGTATCTGATCTCCATGCATGCATAAATAACATTGCATGTTATGTGGATCACAGAATGAACTACTTTTTCTAACTGTTGCAAAGCTAATGAGAACTGAGTTCCACTCTAACTCAGCTCTCGAAATAACTCTGCAACTTTTTCTATCCACAAAAAGAAAAATTATAGTTACTTTCTCCTTATAATAAATTTCACAATTCCCACTATTCTAGCTCATCTTCAAAAACACTGGACATTTAAAATGTTCTTGAAAACTCTATTTAACATAACTTAGCTTGGACATTAACAACCATACATTCTCTAGCAGGAGGTAAGATGGATCTCATAAAACTCCATTCAGAGTAAGAGTTGGGAAGCACACAGGAAACACTACTGGAGAAAAATAAATGCTTGGCCAACAGCTCAAGAATTAACTACACTACTCAGTAGTCCGGAACTTAAATGAACATTTCTCTCATACAACAATGACCTTGCAAGTATTTCATAGCGATGCTCCACAACAAGGTCCAAAATATATTTACTGCAATAAATTTCTGAGAGTTGTTAACAGTAAGCATTCTGTTATTTTGTCTTAGGAAAAAAACCTCCACAATATTTAGTTTATTTTTCTGTTACTGCCTTCATTTTATGCTTTCTTATTACTGCACCGCTGCCAGTCCATCAGTATTTCCAAAGAATGCAGTTGGTAAGTAATTCCAATAAAGATATTTCAAGGCATAAATAACCTGGTGGAGTCTAATAAGTTCTTTCTTAAATTTACAGAAATTGTACATGAAATTAATTCAGCAACATAAATAATTTAAGTGTATAAATGTTTTATTTTTAATTAAAAAGGTTAGTAAAGAAATTAATGTATCCAACAGTTAGTAAACATCCAAAGATGAAAATAAAAAAGCATGTTTAATTTTTTTTCTATTGCTTTGATATTAAATATATGTGTGTTTTGCCCTTTCTGAAAGACAAGCACAGCTTGGCTTTTCTTTAAATATAAGCCTAGTATGTATTTTTAAAAGATGAAATATCAAAGGAGAACAAAGACTGGCAATATAACATTAAGATGTCTCTGGAAGTTTGAAGTATTATCATTGAAATGTACCATCTACCACAGCAAGATACAGAGTTAAATCTCTCCCCATTTATCTTTTATTCATTCCCAAAACCCACAAAATGAAATAATTATGGAAAAAAAGTGATGTAATTTCAAATAATTTTTACTCAATTGCCTGCTTCACTGTGTCTTTAGATGCTGCAAATGTTGGGCAACGCTATCATCTTCTCCTGACTTCACATCTCATTCTGTATGAGTCAAAGGCATGAACATGGCAATTCAAGAGAATACCTATAACTATAGTTCAAGTGTAAAATGTAAAATATAATATTGTTTAAGAGATTCTTTCCTCTGGAAATTGATTTGATTTTTTCTGCTCTTTCTGACAGATGAATTATTTCAGAAATTTACTTTTATATGGTCTTAATAAAACAAAAGTCACTTTTCTCCTTCCACTTATTTATAACTGGTAATTTAATTTAAAAAAAAAACCCTACAAACACAACAACCAAAAAAAAAGGTAAAGCTTACAATTTTAAACAGAAAACTTTCCTCTACTATGTGGATCTATATCTAAAATTTAAAAACTATTAAGAATAATCATCAAGCAAGCTGATAAGTATACTTTCTTAAAGAGTGTTTCTAGTGCTTCAGAAGGAAACAAAACAATACAAATTTAGTATACTGAATCCAAGAAGATAAACCACCTTAAAACAGGAAAAAGCAATAATGGAAGAGAAGATACAAAACCACATTTGAAACAAATATTTTAGCCTTTCAAATACTTTCAAACATTTACGCCTCCTATTTTATAAGCTGAATACCAGGAGACATGAGAGGGTAAGTTTA